AGAGGAGCTCTGATGAATTAGTTCATCTGCCCCCGTGCCTGTCCCTGAAGCCCTCACCATGGTCAAGGGAGGAGAGATGTGCTAGTTAGACCTGAATTCCTGGCCCATCCCTGGAGCCGGGGCACGGTCAGGCCTGCTCCGAAGCCCAGGCCTCAGAGTCAGGAAGGTAGTGTTCTCAGAGGAGCCTTCAGGAGCCGAGTTTGCCTTCAAGAGCAGGGTGGTGCCGCCAGACAGACACCTGCCTGTCACCACCTCGAAGGCCGAGTCGGGTTTCAGTATGTCGAGAAGCAGGGAGGGCCTTCCAGGCAGAGGAACCAGCCCAGGCGGAGACCTGGCTATGGGAAGGAGCTGCGTGCACGCGCGTGTGTGGCCGCAGCTGGCTTATGGTGTACACGGGGAAGAAGGCCACACTGAGGTAGGGCCGGCTTGTAGAGGCCCAAACATTGGGCCAGCCATTTGGTCTCTGGTCTCCAGGCAGTAGGGAGCCCATGAGGGCTCTGGATGGGAAGAAGCGTGTGATGAGGCCTGTGTCCCCCCACATCAGAGCACCCGGTTGGACATCCTCAGTAAGATGCAAGTGAGAAGGAATGAGCTTTCTGTGGCTCCCCCTTTCCAGCCAGCAGCCCCTCCCCAGGCCACCCCATACCCAGAAGCATCCACCCGCTGCCTTGCTCTCCTCCCCGCCTCATGAGACCCCGCATTCCTGCTGTATCAGGCACTGCCTGGCAGGAAAAGAAGGCTCGGGATCAGACCTCTCATGGGGCCTGCCAGCTCGTGCTATCCCCAGCCGGCGAAGTAAATAGGATAGGACCTCCAGGGCAGTGGGAGGCTGGGCTTAGAGAGGAACTTAGGAGGGCAGGATCGCCTAAACTGGGAGAGGCAACTGTGCCCCAGCATGTGGTCAGCTGGCCTGGGAAGGATGGAGTTACCCCTCATCCTCAGCCAGAGCCAGCTACGTGTCCCTCTCCCTGGTGACCATCCTTTCCCGGACATGGAGCACAGGGCACATGCTCCTCGCTCCAGGGAGGACAACCTGACAGCTGCCCCTGGGACTGAGCCATGTCCCCAGCCCAAGGAGGGTCCCGTAGGGAACTGAAGGGGCAGAACCCCTGGACACCTAAGGCTTAGAAGTCAGAAACCTGAGTGCCTGGGACCCAGAGACCCAATCCTCTACAGGCGTGTTTGATCCCGTCCTATAGGCATGTTTAACCCACCTCTTATTCCATACAGAATGACAGCTAGTCAGGAACATTTAAAAATCAGGAGATTTTATGCAGAAGCCCAGATGTCCAGTTTCTCTGGAGAAATCAGAAGACCTCGTGTCACTAGGTCCACCCTTGGCCTGTCCACGGTGGACTGGAAGAGAGCCGAGCTGCCCGTCGAGGCGAGCCCTCCTGTGTGTGCCCCCACAGGTCTTGCCCACCTGGCCCCCTGAGAGCCATTGGCTGCGATCCCCACACCTGTGCCTGTCTCCTTGGGCTGCTCTAACAAATTACCATAAACTGGGTAGCTTAGGAGATCTATTTCCTCAAGGCTCTGGAGGCCAGAAGTTCAAAATCAAGGTGTCGGCAGGGCTGCATCCCCCTCTCAAGGCTCTAGGAGGGAACCCTTTCTTGACTCCTCCAGCTTCTGGTGGCTCTAAGTCCTCCTGGGCTTGCGGCTGCAAAATCCAATCCATGCCTCTGATTTAATGTGACATTGTCTCCAAATCAAAGCTCCCTCTGCCTTCTTTCCCTTGAGGACCCTTGTCACTGGGTCTGCGGCCCACCCAGCCAGTCCGGGATATCTCAGCTCTAGATTCTTAACTTCCTTGCATCCTCAAAGACAGTTTTTCCTGATGAGTTTGCACTCACAAGTGGCCCGGGACCTGACATGGGTCTCTTTTCTAGGGGCCGCCATGGAACCCCTTTGTGCCTCAGTTCCCTCCTCTGTAAAATGGGACTGATAGTAACAGCGTCTACTTCCCACGCTTCTTACAGGGATGGAATGAGCTAGAATAGCGCCTGGGAGAGGTTAGGCATCATTAGTCTTATCCTCTATTTATAAAAAGGAAAGAGCCGCCCCTTACAAAGGCCAGAGCGGGTGGGATGCACGGGACACATGCCCAGGGAGTTTGCCCATCAGGCAGCTGCTAACAACCCATCCGCCTTCTACTCCCACAGACAATGGCCCCGTAGGTAAGCGGCGCACGGGGACGGCCACCGTGTTCGTCACCATCCTGGACGTGAATGACAACCGGCCCATCTTTCTGCAGAGCAGCTACGAGACCAGCGTCCCGGAGGACATCCCTGAGGGACACAGCATCATGCAGGCAGGTGGCCGTGGCCCCCTGGGGGCAGCTGGTAGACTGGGGGCACACTGGGCTGCACAAATGCTCGTGGCATTGTGGCCCTGCCACGTGAAGGGATGGAAACGGGAGGGTCCAGAGGCTGCCCCGGAAGTAGCCAGGCGCCCTCCTCCCTCTCGGGGAGACCAGGCTTTTAGTTTCTGTGGCTTACGACAGTACCCTGGCTCCCCGCAAAACAGGAGGAAGGCCTTGCCTCCTTCCTTTTCCCCAAGCCCCCTCCTCTTCCCCCATGCCACCCAGAGGGCCTTTCAGAAAAGCAAGGGGATGGAGCTGTCAGTCACATTTTCCCAGCAAGGAGGTGAGGGGAAACAGCCAGGGCCCAGCTAGGCCCAGAACAGAGAGGCTTTCATGGGGCCCTTGGCCAAAGCTCCCTTCTCGGGAAGTAAACAAGCACATCTTTAGAAGAAAAAGCTCCTTTGCCCAGGGAGCTAGAGTAACAGCTCTGAGGCTCTGAGGGAGAAAGGGGAGGATCAGAGAATGGGGCTCAGGTGCCCTCCCCCAGCTTGCCCTGGAGGCCTCTGTTGCTTGGGGCGGGGGGGGTGCAGGCCTGAGTCACCCTCTTCACCAGCTGTGGAGGCAGAGGCTGAGCCAAACACAGCAAATCTGGGCCTGTCTGCGGGGGCAGGCTCCCAGCATCGGGAGGGGCTGGAAGTGTGTCCAGCTCGCTGTGTCAGGGCCAGGGGCCTGGCAGGAAATGGGCTGGGAGCGGGGCGCTGACTTCCAGAGGCCCAGAGAATCCAGGAAGCTCCAGGGATTTGCCAGAGGCTGGAGGACTGTTCCAGAAGGAGGAGCCGGGAGGTTCTCTTCCTCTGGGGCTCAGCTGCTCCTCTAGCCTCTCACCTGCCCCATTCACCAACAATCTCCCGGGACCAAAGTGGGGACATGCCGGGGTGTGTGGCCAGTGCTGTGAGAGCCCCCTGTCCATCCCCAGCTTTTCAGATTCCTTCAGGCCCTCCGGGAAGCCTTGCCCCCCCCCACGCCACCCCCGCCACCGGCCTCCAGGAAGAGAGCACCTAGTGCTGGGCCAGTGACTCTAGGCCCAGTTCATTCTGGGGTGTGTCAGGGAGGCTCTGGGAAGGGAACCAGGATGAGGGTAACAAGCTGGAAGGGGAGAGGGTAACAAACGCCCGTGGAACGAGGCCTGCCCCGGTTTCTAACCCTGAAGAATTAGTTTCTATTTATACAACACGACACAGCCTGAAATCCTAGAGCCCAGGAGTGAGACAGGGCAGCCCCCATTATCCCCGTGTCTAAGGGAAAAATCAGGCATTAGTGACTTCAAGGCCCTGGAAGTTTCTGGCCGAGGCAGCCTCACTCTTTGTGAAGGTACAGTGGGCCTCACCAGGGTGCTTGGAGACGGAGCTTCTGTTTAGGGGCATGTGAGGGATAAAGATTCCCCCCGCAAGACTCCTTAAGCTTTGAGGGTGGGGACACACCCAACTGGGCCACCCTTCACTCAGGAAATAGAGACGTTTTTCATACTTCTGTGCCTGGAGCTGGTGATGTGAGAGGTTGGAGGTGGTCCCACTCTGCAAACTCCCAGGACCTAGGAAGGAGGAGACGTAGACCTGGGTCGCCCACACTGTTGAGTAGAAGCGATACCTGCTGTCCCTCTGAGAGATGGGAAGGGTTCCAGGCAGGAGGTGGCTTTTGGCTGGAGAGCAAAGATGGCCTCACAGAGGGGGTGCCTTGTGTAGCGTAAGCCACAGCCTGGGGAGGGCAGGTTGTTCAGATCGTCTGGAGTCTTGGGTCAAGGTGAGGTTGGAAAGATAGTTCAGAGCCAGCTCCCAGAAGGCACTGAACATCAGACTAGGGAGCTCTGGCTTTCTCTAGCCAGCAGTTGGAAACCAGGGATGGTTCTAGAGCTGGAACCACTGGGAGCAAGGGGCAAAACTGGAGCTCAATCTTGAAGAAGACCCAGCTGACTGCACCGTGAGTCACACACAGCAGGCGGGAGTTGGGGCAGCCCATGGTGGGACACCAGGTGGCCCTGGCCAGCTGACTCTCTGGAGCAGGAGGTAGGCTACTCAGAACCCCTCTGTCCATTCTCCAAATCTGGGAGTCAGAGTGTCCAGGCACGGCCCCGTGGGGAGAATTTGGGGTTTTGGAATGCTGAGACTCCAGAGTGATTTTGCTTTGACAGGTAGCCAGTCAATGACGCAATTCCCAAAAACTCAAAGAGAGCAGACCTAGTGTACTCCAGACCTGAAGTGCTGTCCTGGAGAGGTCTGGACCCTCCTACCCCAAAGGGAGGATGCCTCCGCCCCCGGGTGAGGCAGGAGCGCTATGACATGTTCTCAGAGCCCAGCTGGCATCACTTCTAGCTTCTGACATTGCCTCCCACCACTCTGATAGTACAGGTCCTGGCCTCTCAAGGAGCTCCTTAACCCATTCTCAGCCCCTTCCTGGTCCATGGTAACGTCAGCACCTGCAAGGTGGGTGGGGCCACCAAGATGGCTGCCAAGACGGTGACCAGCTGGGTATTGTTGAGAGCCTTCTGCTTGCTCTCCTCCCAGCAGGCACCAGGGATCTCACCCACCACAAGGGTGCTGGCAGCTCCCGGGGATTTCAGGTGAATGCTGGTAGGGCCCAGGAATTCCAAGGAGAGAAACCCCAGGCTTTCATCTTGCCTAGGGCACTGAGTTGGCGCAGAGAGAAAAACAGTACCTTGCCCCCCATGTGGGCTGAGTATTTTGCTTGCCTGGAGGGAACACTTGGCCATTTAGCAACTCCCATTGGAATCCACACTTGGCTTTGGCACCTGGAGGGTGAGCAGGACTTCTGTTGGTGTCTGGGAGCCAGAGGGGAGGGTACCGGGGGCCACAGGCTATACCCTCTGGCCCCCCAATCAGCCTAGCGGTCTTTCAGCAGGCAGTAGCTGGAGGGTCTGTAGAGAAGCCTGTATTCCTCCTAGGGCTATCTCTGGGAAAGGCCATGGGCCCAGGGACACAGGGGACCACTGGGGCTGAATGTGTGTCCCATGTCCTCTGCAGCCCCTGATTCCAGGCTCTGTCCAAGACAGGAGGGTCCGAGGGTGGATTCCGGGTGGGTCCTGGAGGGCAGGGCCACCCACCTGGTCACATTTTGGTGGATTCCGCGCAGTCACAGTCCCGGCTGTCATTGCAACCCGGCAGGGGGCGTCGGGGAGCGGGCCTGCCCCTGCGGAAGCTGTGCAGGGAGCGGCGCAGAGAGCCCAGGCGCTTCCAGAGCCGGAGCTGGGGCTCGCTGGGACTCCCAGGGTGGTGGGGCATGCACTCCCGAGCCCGGCGCTGCATCGGGTCCAGCGCTGCCGGTTTGCAGAGGGTCATGAACAGCAAACAGCTGGCCAGCAGGAGGAAGATGCAGGCGAGGGCGATGAGCATGGGGAGGGAGTCTGCTGCCTCTGTGCTGCTGCCCGGAGTGACAGGAGCTGTGAGGAAGGCCAGGGGGCTGGGACCCTGTGTGCTCATGGCTCCTGCAACAGGAAGGGGACAGGAGCTCAGAGGCAAGTCAGCTGAACCCAGGGGCTGGCAAGGGAAGGGAACATTGATGGGGGCTGGGGGCTGCTAACCTAGCTGCAGACGGCATCGTGGCCATATTACAGGTTAGAACGGGGAGGACCAGAGAGGCTGACAAGTCTCAGGTCACACAGCAGGAAGTGATGAAGCTGGGCCTGAACTCAGGTCCTCTTTCTGCTATATCCCTTGCCCACCTGCCCCAGAGGAGACAGGAGGGTAATGCCTCTTGGCATTGCAAAATCAATTCTTGTACCTAAAAACCTGGGGACGTCCGGCCAGCTCCATCAGTAGGTTGCTCCCTGACCCGGAACGAGTCATCAGTTCTAGGCTGATGCAGCTGGCAAGGACCCTGACAATCCTCTAACACCCGGGCTGCGAACTGGGGGCCCACAGGTGTGTTTCATTGGGTCCTTGGGTCTAGTGTTTTTATAAATTTCAATTAATTGTGACTATTTTAAAAGTCACAGACCAAAACCCAAGAGATTTCACATAAATATCTTGATATCTGGCTTCTCTGGAAATCCCAGAATTTCAACAGTGGCAACACAGGGCCGGTTGGTGCCTGGCACCCAGTAGCAAGGCCGAGCAGCAGTTATCCCCTTCAGACAGGTGATTGGCCCCCAGATCACCATACTCCCTGACAGGCCCACTACACACCATATTCCATCTGCCCGTTCCCATGGGCATTCCTGTTGGTGCTTCCCAATGCAGCCCAGCCTGCTCCCATGACAAGTAAGGAATCTAAGACCCCAACGAGGGAAGGCCAACCCCAGTCCCACACTGTGAGCCATGGCTGAGCAAAGGCCAGAAGCAGGTTTCCTGACTCCTGGCCCTATGGCTCCCCAGTCCTCTGGGATCACGAGCCGCTCCTAGAACAGGTGAGAAATAATTGACAAAGAGAGCCACAGGGTTCACGAGGTGGGGCTCAAAACACACCCCTCCCCACCCAGACACCAGTTACCTGCTCTCACTCATGACCAGCCCACTAAAGGGAGCTCACCAGAGGATCTTTGGAGATGGAAAATCAGGCTGAGCTTCTGGTTAAACATATCTGGAGTTGCAGATGAAAATACTTACAGGGCCTGGCCAGCAGGTAACATGTGGCCACAGCGGGCAGTGGCAGGTCTACACAGAGAGGACCCTCAGGGAGGTGGGGGTGCCTTGGCCAGGCTGATGGAACACCGGCCCAGTGTGGTTGGTCAGCCCTTCCTGTTTCCCAAGAGAAGCCAGAAATTGCCCGGATTTTTTCAGGCAGATGTTCCTGACGTTTAAATGTTGACAACTGTTTCAAATTTGGTTAAAGCCAGAGACTGGTTGGGGAGGGGGGATATGCTACAAAGTAAACAAACTTGAACCCCCCCCCCCAGGCTACCTCCAGCTCATAGGCCAGCATGGGTGATCTTTGATTTCTACAAACACAAGACAGAAAAGTCCCCAAGAGGGTCTTAATAAAAAAAGATGAGGTATAGCAAGTTGCCCTCCTCCTCCTCCAGCTCGCAGCCTAGAATAAACTTACAGTTGAGTTTCTAGCATGGCTCAGTGGAGTCACATCAAAGCTCTGTAGGTGGGCTGAGGCGTGCATGTTGGCAGGCAGTAGGGAGCATAGAGGGGACACCCAGCCCCCACCCTCTGGAGCACCCATCCCCACCCCAGGCACTCACCAGCAGCGGCAGGACCTCACTCCCAGCTCCCTGCGCTCAGCCTCCTTCCTGCCTACAGCCTTGCCCTGTGCCCAACCACCTGAGGGCAATCAGGGCATCCCCACCTCCCACCCATTCCCTGCCATCACTCCGTCCAGCCTTTCCGGACAGAACATGACCCCTCCCAACTCCAAGCTGGAAATTTTGATGCCCGTCTAGCTGCCCACAGCCTCTGCCTTTCAGGCATCGGGCCTGGAAAGCACTCTGGCTGGGCAGCTCTGTGGGGTTTGGCCCGCCCTTGCATATGAGCATGGAGAAGGGATGGGATGTGCCCACACCATCTCCCACAGGGAGAAAACTGGCCCTCTTTCCTGCCGCCCAGGGCAGTATTTGGCTGGGAGGGAGAAAAGGGCAATCAGAAGTGGGGGAGGTCTCAATCCCATTAGTCCTGATATGACTGTAAGGCCCCCGCATGGATCGGGAGATCCTGTTGGGCTAGCAAAGCTGGTCCAAACTTCAGTCCCCAGGGAAGCACTTGAACAAAAAGATAAATGAGGCTGTAATTAACATTTTAGTAGTTTTCTTAGAAGGAAGAGATTCTAAAGTGCTTGAAAATATCAAGCCACCCTCCCTGGAACCCGTGGCAAAACCAGCTGTCAGCCCCTTTACAGGCCCTCTGATCCACCAAGGGCCAGCTGCTTGCAGAGAAAAGAGGCCTCCACCAGACCAAGGCTAGGAATAGTCTTGAGGGCAGTTAAAGCTTCCCCCAGCTCACAGGCCAAAGGCACACTGGCAGGCCCTGCCCTGGACATATCACTGCAAGTTCATTCTAGAACCTTCTTTCTTCCCTCAGAACTCTGTAGAGCAGTGCTGACTGCAGCACAGGGACTAACCTCAAAACACATCTTGCTATGTGGCCTTGGGTTAGTCACTATCCTGCCCTGGGCCCTGTTTCCACTTTCTACAAAAGCAGAGGGATTCCCCAGGTCTGAGCGTACCCTCATATCCTCCCCAGAGTACCCCAGCAAGCGCCTGGCCCCACTTTCTTCACCAAGCCTTTTCCTGCAGTCCCCGAGCACTGACCTTAGAGCCAGCGCTCAGCCGTCCCACTGGGTCGAAAGGTCGTCTTAACTGTCCACAGGAGGGCCAAGGAGCAGCAGGTGCCAACCGTGACCCTCGCCTGCCCTGGACTCTGCGGTGCCCTGTGCCCCTCAGTCAGCCAGGCTGGGCAGAGTGGGCCGTCTTCACTCACTCTCCAGCTAGCCCTGGCTTTGTCTGGAAGAATTTGGGCCCTGCCTTGGGGGAGGGGACAGCCAAGAGGGTAGGGATGGCAACTGGGCCAGGCAGAGGGAGAGGGGAGCCTTACAGAGGAGCCGGTTGCTCCCAAGCCCTCCCAGGGCCTCACTCCAGCCTGTCTCCTTGGAGCCCTTGCAGGGGCCCGGGGTAGAGGCACTGGGGAGCTACGGGGAGGGGCTCACAGCCTCGCAGCGGCTCTCACCTTCCCCCACTGGGCGTCTGAATGGTATGGTCGGCAGCCAGCAGCTTGCTATTCAGTGCCTGCCGGCCTCCAGCCTCTGGGTTACCAGGGAGAGGGGAGAGGGGCTACAGCCCAGCAGCAGAGGGATAGGCCCCGACAGCTCCCGTGCTCCTCCTCCCCTCCTGTGTCCCTGGGCCCCTCACCGTCCAGGCTTACCCCTCAGCTTCCCAGAAAACTACCTGCCCTTTGAAGGTGTCTGGCTACAGAAGTGCGGGATCAGAGACATTTTCAAAGGTCCAAGAGCTCTTGGGGCAGAAGGTACAGGATTGAGGGACAGCATGGCTTGCTCCTTATAGTTCTGGTGGGCCCTTGGAGCCCCTCCAGGTGGTGGCTCTCCAGCCCTCCCCACAACCTTCACCCCCCACACACCCCCCACACACATACACACGCATGCCCCCCGCCCCAGCCGCCTTTCTTCCCGGAAGCCAGAGCATCCCCCTGGGGAGGTAACAGTGGACAAGGGCCCCTCCTCTCTGGGAATGTAGAAAGTAAGCTTAGATGTGGTAGGTCAGCAGTTGACAGGGGTGGGGACAGCCTAGGTATTGGAGTGGGGAATGCAGTTCCACATACATTGCTCAGAGAAGGCCGGATGAGATGATATTTGAACAGAAACCCGGAGAATGTGAGGGAGTGAGCACACAAGTATCTGGAGGGAGGGCTGGCCGGTGGAAGAAACAGCACACACTTGGCATTCAAGATACAAAAGGAGATCGGTGTGGTTTGGGCAGAGCTGGTGAGGAGGGAGTGGTGGAAGGGGAGCTCATGTCCTCTCAGTTCTTACCAGTAAGAAGACGGACTTGCTTTTTTTCTGGGCCCGAGGTCCAAAGTCCCAGCGAAGGATGAGATGGACCCAGTCTGGATCAGGTACCTTCTCCCAGAACAGTCACCACTGGCCATGGTCCATAAGAACATGACGGCCCCAGTGCACACCACAGGGTTGCGGGGAAAGGTGGAGAGAGGAGGGAAGACCTGGAAGAAGGGAGAGGTCTAGGGTATCACAAAGTAATTCACCACCAATCAAGACTACGTTCCGAGGCCCGGGTCCTCCCAGCCACACGGAGTGAAGCCTCTCCCTGCCTCGCCTTCCAGGGGAGCAATCTCTCTTCTCACTTCAGGGTAGAGTAGGTGTTCAGTTCTTGGTTGGACAGGACTCGCCTCGGGGCCGGCCGTGACTCTGCCCGCAGCCTCGAGTCTGGACTCCTTGCGAAAAGGGATAAACACCACGAAGTATCTCTCAGTGAGAACAGCACACCCCCGGGTTCCACCAGAGACCACGCAGGAGCCTGAGGCACTGCCAACCAAGGGGGGCGGGGTGGGGTCTGAAACTAGACCGGAGCAAATGTGTAGGTGCTTGAAGACGGAGCCACCTGGTAGGAGGTGGGATTTCTGGGTTTCTACAAAGTGGCTGTCACAGGACACAGTGCCCAGCTGGGACTCAGTATGGTGGGAATGGCTTCAGATCTAGAAAGTGTGGGCAAGAAGCAGCCCCACAATCCAGCCTCCTGCCACCACCCCCATCCCGCTGGGACAAGGCTCCTGGGATCTCAAAAGGCTGAAGGAGGGAAGCGGGTTCCTATGGGCTGACCTCGTGAAGTCTAGATCTGGAGAGCTACCGTGCCATCCATTATCCACCTTCTTCCCCCATTCTCCCCAAGACCCTCATGGAGGATCAAAGAGCAGAGCTGGCAGGTCCCCTGCCATACAAGGCAGCAGAGAGCCGTCAACAGGTGTCTTCATGGCGAGGAGGCGGACAGACGTGTCCTTCTCTCATAACC